TTGGTCAGAAGTCTTGTCTTTGAGATTGTAGTCACACGTGTTAAGTGTCGACGTAATACGACAGTTTGACGTTCGTTGTGTGACTTCAGGCCGTGCGGGTCTCCAGACAGTCCTCCTCCTGTGTCGGCGAGGTTAGCTTAGCATTAGCAGCAGCACCTCCTCACTTACTGGGAAAAAGAGTAGCGGTCAAGCTGATTGTAAGCATAAACATATGTAGTGTAGAGCTTTTTTTTTCCCCCTTCAGAAACCTGCTTCAATGCAGGATTCATGGCTCTGAAGTCGCACAGGAGTTTTCCACTAACCACCCACCACAGGCAGAGTTACTCTACCGGCAGCTAAATTGGACCATTCATCCTTGAGGAAGCACAAAAATGTCTTTGTTCATCCAACGTGATTGCAGCGTTTGGTTGGGTTTTTACATGGATTTAAGGAAACCTCCTCCTTAAATTTGTAAAGTCAGAGCTCTCCTTATTGGAAAATAAGTGTGGTTATGTAACTGGAGGGTCACCCAGATGGATGAACCTGTGGGTTTCCAATCCCACAGTGAGCTCATTAGCCCAAGTAGCAGTGATTTATCAAATTGTAGTTGTGTGCTGTGTTTATTGCTACCAGCTTACGTAACCGTTTATAACCCTGATGAGACCGGAGCATGTGTGCGCTAAAACTTTGTGGCACTACAACTCAACTGTCAACACAACTGCATTTTTATTGTTGACAAAGCAATCTCACCTCAAGGTCCATTTAGTTGTAGAGCTTTCAATCACATTATATGATCAGCAGATGCAGCTTGCCCAGTTCTTAGCTTATAGCAGCGAATAATCAGATCTCCACTGTTTTACTCAAACAAAATCACTATAAAGCTTAAAACTGGGATACAAGTGCATGGAATCATACTTAACGTGACTTTTTTTTGCAGACCCGTAAGCTGACCAAAGCGGAGCGGCAGCGTTTCAGCGAGGAGGTGGAGATGCTGAAAGGGCTGCAGCACCCAAACATCGTGCGCTTCCACGACTCCTGGAAGTCGACCGTAAAAGGCCACAAGTGCATCATCCTGGTGACCGAACTCATGACGTCAGGCACGCTCAAGACGTGAGTCACCGTCTCCAATTCCCTTTAAAACTGCAGTTTTTTTTATAGGTACATGTTCAAACAGATCAGTCTCCAAACCTAAAAGCAGTTCATTTATATGCTTATGCACGAATGCAGATGTACTCTTTCCAAATAAAACTTCCCATATCTTACGTACCAAAAAGTATATTTATTCCACGGTTGACAGCTTCTCTTCTGCTTTTAAAAGACAATAAAAAGACCAGAGAATAGTTCTCCTTTGAATACAATGTTCTGGGAGAGAATTATGGAAACTTTCAAGCTTCCCCTTGGCTGTCAAAAGATGAGATGAGTTATTTCATGGCACTTGAAAGCTTCCTCTTCTTGCTGTGTTGTGATATGTTTAGACTGAGACTGCCGAGTCTTTGTTTCAGATACTTGAAGAGGTTCAAGGAGATGAAGCTGAAGCTGCTGCAGCGCTGGAGTCGTCAGATCCTCAAAGGGCTTCACTTTCTGCACACTCGCACTCCTCCCATCATCCACCGGGACCTCAAGTGCGACAACATCTTCATCACCGGCCCGACTGGCTCCGTCAAGATAGGAGATCTGGGGCTGGCCACCCTCAAAAGTGCCTCTTTTGCTAAAAGTGTCATTGGTAAGAGTATGTTTAGTCTCTTTGTGTGTGTGTTTAAATGTGAAATAAATGACATCTTAAGCACAATTTGGCCTAGATCTAGCAGTTTAATCAATCTTGAAATGGTGGGAGATGTCAACGAGGTGAAACAGGTTTCGCCTCTCACTTTCCCCTGTTTGTTTATCTCTGTTTATTTCCACTGCACCCAAGCAACCTCAGGTGTCTCTTTAAAATTCCTGACCTCATTTTGAAAGGCAGCATCTCTCTTCAAATGGCTTTTAATTTCAGTGGGAACCTGCCCTTCCCATCACGTACAACCAGGGAGTGCCAACCATCAAACGCACTATAAAGACTTGTTGACTCCTGCTGAAAGTGGCTCATAAACTTCATTTAACCAGCTCCAAATGAATCATAGTATGTTAATTGTTTTATAATGAAGAGGTTTGTACTCAGCGTTCTTGAAAATTATTTACCTTTTTTTTTTTTTTTAAATTGAAAAACAAGATACAGTTTTATAGCCACACTAGCAGCGAGTCAGACTGTCTGATCAGGTCAAATACTGCAATTTACGACTAAATACCTGCAAAACCAGCCTCAGGTGGGCTTTGAGTCGGTGCTAATTAGCATATGTTAGCATGCTACACCATAAACATAGTAAATACTATACATGCTTAACCTCCGAATGTTGTAAAAGTGGGCATGTTGGCATGCAAAGGTTAGCATTTAGATCAAAACACCACTTTGTGTAGATACTCAGTATTACACGTACAGAGCATTTATGTTAATCAGTTGTCTGTTAAAAGCCCTTTTATGCTGTTTGATGTTCAGTTCACAGTTAAATTTGCACATAAGACTATGTCACCTAAACAAAAAGCTGCAATACATGCTTTTCTTTTAGTTTTCTATATGTGTTAGATCCCTTGTTCAATATTAGGGATGCCACTAGTGATTATTTTGATTGTGGAGTAATCTGTCAGTTATTTTGTTGGTTATTTAAAGAGATGTTTGGTCTATAAAGTGTTGGAAAATGGTGAGAAATGTATTGTTTCCCAAAGCCCAAGCCCACAATATCTTGTTTTGTCCACAACCCTAGTTAACTGACATGGAGGAGGGGGAAAAAGGAAATATTCAAATTAAAGGCGCTTTAATTAGACAATATTAGATGTTTTTTCTTTAAATAAAAATACTTAGAATGATAAATTGATCATCAGAATAGTTTGTGAATAATTAATTAATTGTTGAAGCTCTATTTTATATAGTTGTTACTGTTATTTTTAACCCTTTAACAGTCAGATGCATTGATTGAAAGGACATCACCCTGCAGAGAATTATCATCTTCAGCTTCCCTCAGTGTTATGCAACATTTTAGTGTCTTTCAGCTGCAGCTTTGTTGGTTTGGTTTACGATTAACAACCTCGTCAACCTAGTTGTTTGCTGCAGTGAAGTGAAACTAAACTGTATGCACTGAAAGTCGGACCAAACATAGCTGGTGGAGCTAAAGAGCCACGTATTTCCCCCATGAGTTGGTAGAGACCAAAACAGAGCCAAAAGAATCCCTCAAAAAATAAATAATTCTACATTCATGCATTCTGAATACAGGACATTGGTGGTCCCGTAGTGATTTCCTTCGTAATAATGCAAAAACTGCTCACTTTGACCCCGACAGGAACCCCAGAGTTCATGGCCCCGGAGATGTACGAGGAGAAGTACGACGAAGCGGTGGACGTCTACGCCTTCGGAATGTGCATCCTGGAGATGGCCACCTCTGAGTACCCGTACTCTGAGTGCCAAAACGCGGCCCAGATCTACCGCAAAGTCACCAGTGTGAGTAAAGGGAAAAAGGAGGACCATCTCATTTCCCCCACCATATTTAATGTAATTGTCTACATGTGTTCGCTTTCCTCCGTGTGCACACTGGAATTAGACCGAAAGGAACCAGGATATCTCATGTATACGGCTGGATGTTCTGAACGCCTGGAAAGAAGGGGCGGGGGGGGAAGGAAAGCTCTGTTTGGTTTATTAGAGGCTCAGCTTCGCCCATTACGAGTTCGGGATGCAGAAGTATACTATAACCTGACCGCTTTTCTGTAGGCTGCAATCATGACGCAGGATTGCACATGTTTTACTCACTGATTGCCAGTTCAAAGATCTTGTTGAGCTGGTGCAGGCTATCGTTTTCACTGGAAAATTCCCTTTGTCATGAACAGACAACTCGAGTGGCTTATTGACACTAATACATGTTAGTTTTCTGTCTAAATTGCCTTGCAGAAAAAGACAGATGCATTATGAAATTAGACCGTTTCAGTGCATTGGAAGGTCTAATAATGGATCCCAGCTCAGACTCCACCTCAATAATGTTGCATTCAGGTCAGCTCATAGTAGAAAAAGTGAGACTTCATCAACGTATTGATTCTTAAGACTGCAGCATCACAGCAGCGTCTTTAAGTTGCTGCATTTCAAGCTGTTCTCGGGCGCTGAGCGCAGCGATGACGCCACGGTGGGAACGAGCAGGCGACAGTAGAATTATATGTTTTGGAAAATGTGTCTCACTCTTTGCTCTACAAAGAGTCCTGTTTCTTTCTTGTGTGTCGCATATGCAAAGCAAACAGCATCTGACGGAGGCTGGAAAGTGAGAAAGCGACAATGCCAACAAGTCAGAGTGGGTCTGGCTCCTCCACAAACAGGAGCACAGTCATGTTCCGTGTGCTGTCGGAGAAGCTTAGCCATGCAGCAAGATTTTTTTTAAAAAAAGAAGAAGAAGGAAAACACCTCATGCTAGCTGTGCTTTTTGCGATTTGTTAATGTTTTACTTTTATAAGGACGACAGCTGACGTGTCGGTTTATTGGTGTGACAGTTATATTTTTCACAACACTAACCTACAAACCTGACGTAGGTTTAAATGACAGACTGGCACTTGAAGTCATTTGCTATTAAAGAGGCCCAAAGTACCGCTTGACATGTGAAAGGAAGAACACATAAGATTCTTGTCACAACTGTTTACAGACTTCCCTTGGCCTTGTTTATAATATGATTTACATCAAGCAAGCACATGAATTTTCCCATTTACTACGGAAAAAGGCTGTCTCATATACATTATATAACCAAAAGTATGCAGACACTCGAACATTGCCGCCATTTGTGACGGATAAACATCTTATTCTGGGTCATTAATGTGACATCCTCTGCCCCTCTGAGGAGGTTTTCCAACAAGTTTTGGAACCTGGCTGCAGGGATGATTACACAAGAGCACTTGTGAGCACTGATGCTGGGTGCTATTGTGCGGCCTGGCTTGCACTTGCCGTTCATCCCAAAGTGTTGGATGGAGCAGGGGTCAGGGCTCTGCGCCGGCCCGTCAACTTCTTCCACACCAAACTAGGCAAACCATTTACTCATGGAGCTGCCTTTGTGCACGGAGGCACTGGTGTGTGGGATAACGATATTACCGTTACTGTAAATCAGATTTACATTTGTCATTGCACACAGTGAGTACCAGGTTAGTAAAATGCAGTAGAATACGGTGCAAACGGCAGCAAAATGCAAACAGATAGATGGGATGTCATTTTAATATGTGCAAAATGGACAAAAACAACATATTAAATCACAGTATGAGTTAATTTAGCTGTAGTGAGTCACTGATATCTACACTGTAGACAGAAAGTAAAGAACAGAACACACAGTTAAATGAGTATTCAGCAGTATTAGGATTATTAACTTAATCTAATGTGCTGAAACTGTGAAAAAAAGCATTTAAAAGCATGCATGCAGGGCTGTCTTTATACTTTTGGTCATATACCGGTACATACTTTCCTCATGGTGCTGAAATGTATGCCAAAGAACACTTTTTTGTTGTTTTTGCAAGAAAGTGCCACATTTTATTCTCATATTTGTGCAAAATAGCTGTTTCAGGTTCATATGGAATACATGCATCCTTCTGTTCTTAATGATGATAAAAATGTGACACCATAAATGCAGTCAGTTGGCCACTGGTTCGCTTCCTACGATCTTATCTTGACCTCTGTCACCACAGGAAAGGAGCTGAGTCACAAATTAGATTTGGATCGAGGTAAAACTGATTTATCCTCAAGGTGCAACTAGAGGACACCGAGGCAAACTGTGATTGCGATGAAGGAGGCAATCCAATTTGTGTTTTTCCTCAACAAAGTGGACCAAAGCAAAAGTCAAACGCACATGTTGCTTGAGTAAAAAAAGAAAAAAAATCTTGTTCTCTTTGTTGTCTCATTTTAAAAGGCAGCAGTAAAAACCAAAACAAAACTTCAGCTACTGTGTGACATGTCAGCCTTTACATGTGATAACAAAGTGTATCACTCAGCCTTTCACTGGGAAATCTTATTTGGGTGTTTGACCTAACATCATCAGGTTGCTTGGGTATCTGCAGGCCAAATGACCTTGGTTTTTTTCCTCTCTTATCAGTGTTTTTACAGGAATTGGAGCTCTACTGTAATCTATGTACATTCTCATGATAGCATTTAGAAAAACTCCCTCATTTCTTATAAAGGAGAAGCCCTGCCTAAATATTTTTGAGATAAACTCTACATCGAAGCTGCAGCTGTTATGAGTTATTAAAATCCCTCCGAAGATTGTGTTTAAGTAAAAAGGAAGGAGGAAGCATGGCATCTTGGGTTTTTTCCATTTACATGAGCTCCCGTTATTGTCCTCCTCTGGTGTTGACATGATCGCAGAGCCGAATGTCATGCTGGCTGGAGGCAGATGTCACAAAGTGGAGGATTATGTTAACATGCAGCGCAGGTGGGAGTGGCTGGTAATGCTTTGGCTACTAATGTGGGATAAATGTAGAAGGAAGAGATCACCTACTCTGCTTAAAATCCTTCAAAATACTCCCTTTGTGTACTTTTTATATTAAGTATGAAGCCCTTGCAGAAGAAATAAAACCCAATATCCTCTTCTGACTGTTTTCACAGGGCATTAAACCTGACAGTTTCTACAAAGTCAAAGTCCCAGAACTCAAGGAGATCATTGAGGGCTGCATTCGCATGAACAAGGATGAAAGGTAAAAGTGAAAGCATACACTGTAGCCCGCAATAATACAATAACAAACTGTGTAAATAACTAATATCTTAATCTGTATGAGGTAAACTGTTGCCCTATTCTGTTTTATTTTGCCCAATCACAGGATGCAAATATGTGATAATACAAGATTTCTTAATGTTTTTTTTATATTTTGCTCCTGTCACATTTTCACTTTTTACGACTTGAAGTCCTGCACCTCTACGGAAATAGCATGGTTACAAGAAGAGAAAAATCTAAAATGTGTTTTGTGCAGTATGACACAGCTATAATGTCATAAATCATTAAAAAAAAAGATGCATTTCTTTGATTATTTATTTAAAAAAGAAAAAAAGAAAAACCTTAAATAAGCATGTGCCACATCTTACCAAGTCCCAACAGGTATTATCAATATTGGAAAATAAATTAGTTGGACTCTACATACAAAATATATATTGCTACTTAAAGTTTAAATTTTTGTCATGAAAGTCCACGTAAACACAGCCTGCAGTTCAGCTGAGAAGTCCCTAAGCTTTCATCCCTTCACTGATGTCCCTAATTGTTTCACAGTTGTGCATAAGAGCTTTGACTGTTTAGTTTTTTAAATTAATCTTATGACTGCAAACCATAGGTATATATAATAAAGGCTAGATGTCTCGTCCGCACTGTCGGCCAATAGAATCGCACGGCCACACTGGCGGCCATCTTGGCACGGTCCACTCGCTCACCCATAACATTGTGTTGTTGTGGTGCATGTACTTTTTAAATAACCATAACTTGCTCAGTTTTCTACTGATTTTCAAATGGTTTGGTTTGTTCTAAACATCAGAGGTGTAGTTATAACACTGCACTTCTGGATAATTGTGTTACACTCTCACGGCCAGCAACAATTTTAACTATTTTAATTATTTTGTATTTTATTTGTATTTTTGTAATTTGAATTGTAGCCACGTTAATAACGTTTGTAAGAAACTAAAGCGTTTGTAAATCCGTCAAGGTTTCAGCGAGATAAGAGTATTTACGTTTGTGCAGATCACTCACCTTCCTTCACCACAGAAAGCTGCCCTGAATCAAGATGGCTGAACGGTGATCCCGTTTGAAACGCCGCCTTAAGACATCTAGCCTTTATTATACATATCTATGCTGCAAAAAGTTTGATTTTTTAAAGAGGCCTATGCTAGTAAAGTAATGGATTTTAGAATAGAATAGAATAGAATAGAATGCTTTTTATTGTCATCATACACAGAGTACAATGAAATTAAAAGACGACTCCAGTGGTGCGGAAATATTAGGATTTTAAGCTTAAGTTTGATTAATTTTCCTGACGAGACTGCACGTCGCAAATGATTAGCTCAAGAAATGCTGAAAAGCTTAAAATCCAAGGAATTTTTTTCTGTTTTCCCACTGTCTAGCTCTGATAAATGATGAATGCCTTTCAAACCTGCTAGCAGCTCTCGGGGACCAGAGGGTTACGTTTCCTGAGTGTACACAAGCAAATGGCTGGTTTCCTTCCTTTACCGCAGGTACACCATTCAGGACCTGCTGGATCACCCCTTCTTCCAGGAGAACAACGGCGTGCACGTGGAGCTGGCGGAGGAGGACGACATGGTGAAGTCGGGCCTGAAGCTGTGGCTGCGCATGGACGACACCAAGAAGCTCCACGGGAAGTACAAGGACAACAACGCCATTGAGTTCCTCTTTGAACTCTACAAAGACGTGCCTGAGGAGGTGGCTCAGGAGATGGTAGGCTGACGACAGGCTCTGATGAGGTCAACCTTTACTGCTTCACTGACCCAGTTTGTGGTAGCCATTAGTGAGGAAATTGAGTAATTGATCCCAGATCGGCAGACAGAGGCGGCTTCAGGCAGCGCCTCCCCATGTTCTCTGCATCCTAATCCTTGATTTATGATAATAGCTTTTATAGGTTTTGTGGAGGGAAGCTGAATATGGAGTTGGTATGAACTCCTAATGTTTGTAGTACAGTTAAACCCTACAGTCCTACACACAGAGGGAATTACTTTATTTGGATACTGTGAGGGAAAAGGCAGCGCTGTTAGAAGACGACTTGAAGTGGATCCATGTTTCATAAGGCTAATTCTCCTCCTCTGTCAGCAATGAGAGTTGAAGTAAGAATTAAAAGACAGTTTCAGTGTGTGGAGTTCCAACTATATTACTGTTGTGGTAATTGCTTTGTTTAAAGGCACATTCTGATCTGAAGGTCTCGTTATGGGCTTATCATTGTTATAATCAGATACCTATCCCTTTCACACTTGACCCCAAACAGTGAAGGCAACCTCACTAATGCACCTCGACATCATTATGTGTCTTTTACGGTTCTGTTATGACAGCAGAAAACACTCAAACCTGCCACAGCCCATAACGGGAACACCTTGCACGGTGTGTCAAGGTCACGGCTCAGCATTTAATCATCAGCGGTTGGAAATGTGAGAGCGTGTCTCAGGAAGCAGCCGGAGTCACGTCTTTAATAATATAATGGTTTTCATGCTTGTTACGAAACCGGCCCTTATGTCCTCGAGAGCCCTCCTCGTCTGTAGAGGTCACTTTTAATGAAAATACAAGCCACAATTCCTTACTTGTTTACCTCTTTGTGGTAGTTTTCATCAAGATCAAATTTGGTATCAGCAGGGGACATCTAGTCGGGCCGATCTCCTGTAATCTGACTATGTGTTGAGAGGCTGTCCCACTCTGCCGGACCGGGCGTCACAAAAGGCTGTTCAAGACGCTAAAATGACAGAAAGAATGCAGTTTGTGTGTGTTGGTTCCGCAAAACAAATGTTATTAGTACAAAAGCTTTGGTCGTGTGAAAGGACTGACTGTAAATGTCACAGCTCGGGTCAAGAAGTGCAACAGACCTGCATATATTTCCCACATATTGCACCAGCACACTTATACACATATGTTAATGTTGTTCCCTGACCTTTAGCATCTGTTGTTATGCAGGTCGTGCTCGGCTTTGTGTGCGAGGCCGACTTCAAGCTCGTGGCCAAAGCCATACGGGACAGAGTGACGGCCATCAAGCGGCAGAGAGAGAAGCTGAGGCGGCAGGCGGAGGAGTGGAAGAAGAAGCAGGAGGCCATAGAGGAAGAGCCGGAGTCTAAAGCCAGCGATGTTGTCGCAGCAGAGTCCCCCACCCCGGCCCTGACGCCTCCGGCCCCCATACTGTCCCCTGTGACCAGCTCTGTGGACTCTGGCGTCAGCTCCAACTACCCTGCGGAACCGGAGGAGCCCGAGGCCGACCAGCACTTCCACGTCCGCCACAACAGCTTGTCTTCTGCAAACTGTGAGCTGCTGAATTAAACATCCCATACGTTGAAAATGTTTGCAGGTCACAGGCATTGAATATAGACTTTTGAGATATTGCTGAAACATGAAGCTTTGCAGTGCTTTGCGTCCTTAAACTCTGGTATTTTGGCACTAAGTAATGCTGTTAAAATCAACAAACAAAGCTTGTGCCTGATAAAACGTTTAACATTTGTACAATACAGTATATTCCAAAGTAAAGGTCACAGTACCAGGCAATAGAAATACTGCTAGGAATAAACGTCTTGTAGTTCCCGTTTTCTTTCGTAGGAGTGCAGAAGTATTATCAACAACGTACGCATAAAGTATCAATGATGAAACTTTCATCATGTTGAAATACCTGGATCAGAGTTGTTGTATGAAAAATAATATGTAATTGTAGCATTTTATTTTGAAATCAGTTGAGTTGCAGCTAAATTTTATACATTGTGGACACTTTATTCTCTCAAAATGATTTATATTTTAGAAATTGCTTCTATGTTTAAAGATAAATTTAGAATCCAAGCTCTGAAATGTAAGTTAAAAGTATAAAATAGCCTAAATACTCAAGTACAAGTACCTCAAACATACACTGAAGTGTACTTTGCTCGAGAAAAAGTATTTAGTTACACTCCAATAACTTACATATTGTCACATGTGCATCAAATGAGCCTGTTTTGTTTTGACCTCTCTCGTTTAAACTCTGGAGACAAATACTTTTCGGTGCATTAGCTGCACAACTGTACTGAACAGAAACATGCTCAGACCTCAAAGCACATGGGAGGGATGCGGCGAAATGTGAAACTGTGGATAACTAAATTATTCAGTCTTTTCTCTTGGTGTGAGCACATGCTGTTCTGTAGTTATTGAGTATGTTTTTAGTCCACAGTTTCCCAAACAACCGCCCCAATATTTCAAATCCAGTAAAGATGTGTCCGACTTCTCCAGAGCAGAGCTGATCCACAGTGAAACCCTTGAAGTTTTTTATTGTTTACATGTGTGGTGTATCTCAGCTTGGGGTCATTAGATGTGTGGCGTGTGTTGGAGTTTGTGTTGGTTTGTCAGGCCGGTCACATGCTCACGGTTTATGTGCTTTGTTGAAACAGCTGACTGCGAGACCGACGGCTATCTGAGCTCCTCTGGGCTGCAGGATCCGCTGGAGGCCGGCGGCTTCAACGCGACCCCTCCCACCACGCACAACAACCCCCCTGCTGTAAACGGCCTCCCCATCCCTGCCCTCCGCTTCCCCTCGGTGAGTGGCTTCAGTCAGGAGCTAGAGGATGACTTTCAAGACTTTACAAGGCCTCCTTTTGTAGCTTTACTCTGTCCAACCCAGTGCCAAAACAGGTTCATCAGTTTCTAAGCACCTCGCTAGTTTTTAGTTGCTTAATTAGAACATTTTCGTTAGTAAAGTGGAAAATTTACACACTGATTTATTGTAAACTAACCAGAATTTTGTGTATCTTATTGTTACATATATTGATGCTTTACCCATAGAACTGATCTTTTACAAAACATTACATTTGTATTTGCTTTTCTGTTTTCCCATGATGCAATTTCTAGCCTAGGTAGAGTTTATACGAGTCTCTAGTGGTTAGTGGCTGTCTGAGGCACTTACTGTACTGTACAGCTATGTTTTAAGCTAAATGCTAATGTCCTAGTATAGCATATTAGCATGCTGTCAGCTAATTGTCTCTAAACATTAAGTGAAGCTAAGATTGATGGATGTGTCATTAGTTTTGCAAAAGATTTGATCATAAATCGAACATTTATTTAATTTAAAATTTAAAAACAGTGTGGAGGACCACCCTTACTGCCAAACCACTAGGATGCCTAAAAACATGAACATTAAAATAATTGGTTTGAATCAACTCAAATACCTGAAAAATCCTTAAATGTAAAAGAAATGATTGAAAGTCTTCATCCACGTGTGTCTTACCACCTTCCTCTTTCTATTCTTAGAGTATCGCCGTATCTAACAACACAGAACACGGCAACTCAGGACCCCCGAGTGGCTTCAACTCCCCTGTGGACAGGTAAACTTCTTCAGCCTTCTTTCCTCTTCACTCTGCTCTTTTGCAGCCATTCAAGGAGCAATAAAGCTCAATAGTTCCTTCCGTATTGGAGTTAGAGCCCTGAAAATCAATGTGAATCTTGTAGAACTGTCCCGTAGGCGTAGCTCCTCCTCCTGCGACAGCACGCTGGAGTCAAATCGACAGCTCTGTTTTTATTGCAGTGAAGCAGAATGAACTCTTGCAGCTCTTCGTGTGGCTGGGTCTCAGATGTTTTCCACGTTGGTGGGATGTTCTCAGCATGAGAGCCGACAAAGGACTAGTAGATTGCGTGCATGTGTTTGTGGTCCAGGTATTACTCACGTAGTGGGGACCTTAAGTGATTTCCTCAGTCATATCGTGGAGACGTGTCGTATTTATAGGAACCAAAAGCAAGTTCTTATAACATGAATCATTCAGTTTTAGGGTGAAGACAAGTTGAGGTCAGGATAAAGTTAGATTTAGGTAAAGGTTAGGGTTAGGCCAGTAGTAGTTACGGTAAAGGTCTTGGAGAAAATGAACATAAGTCAATGTGTTTGTGTGCTCTGGGCTGTAAGACTATATTGTTCTTAGATGATATTGTCAAATTGCACAAAATGTATGTTTTTATCATATTGTTTAGTCTGTAAACTTTTCAAAAACTGCAAAAGCAATGTTTCCAATGTTTTGTCGCTCAAGGTCACATTCTTAAATTGCTTGAAAAACCTGTAAAAACTATAAATTAATGTTCAGAGTTTTTGCCAGTTGATTTTACACTTCATTTGTGTGCTTAAATAGCGAGTGTTTGTGTACTTTTCTATATTTAATACAAGCTATGTTGTCTATCAATATAGAACAACAATGGGCAACAGTTAAAAATAGCAAGTCTTTGTGTTGCACATTTAAAGCAATAGATGTTGAGCCAAAATGCCTTCCAATAGTGAAATCAGATTAATGTTACGAATTTAACGGAAAAGTTAAAATACAATATTCTATTCTCCACCAAATTTCCATTTTAGAACATCCAAGGTGACTGTCAAGGTGTCTCTTACAGTCGTCTTGGTTCGTTTTCTGCGATTGGCAAGAATTGACAGTATCGGACTTGTTCACGGTGGATCGAAACAAATGTCAAGAGTGGCCGCGTATCGAGTTTCGTAACAACTTAGTCATGCACTATTTAGGAGCCAAAACACACTCCCAGTTGCTTAATTCCTCTGAGAAAAGCCCTTGATTACTTATGAGCAGATGTTCATGTCAAAAATCACAAAGACAACAACGGTTTGCAATGTCAACACAGATGTCGAATCAGTTGTTTTTATTATTTTTCATCCAGTTTCCACGTCCTGTGTGTGTGTGAAGGTGCAAAGAGGTTTTGCTGTGAACTAAAGTTACCCGTGAGGTGGAGGTTTTTAAATAGAGGCGGACGGACGCTGCCAACCAGTAGGCCTGTAAATGTTTGCAGCCTGTACCGGGGAGGTGGACGGAGGGGAGTCTGTGACCACAGCAATCCAAAAAGGCCCAGGAGACGCAATTAGCTGAACCGAAGCTTTTTATAAAACGCGCTGCATGTTCTCCAGTTCTCTGAAAGCTCCTTCATTGTGTAAATACTACAGATCACATTCCTCCAGTTCCTTGTAGACGTTGTCAAACTGTATTGTTTGACTTGACCGTTGACACGCCACTGTAACACATCGAAACTTTATTTGACACTTCGGAGAGATGTTTATTATTCTGTGCGGTGCCAAGACAATCGGCCGTGATGGATATTCACTTCTTTTATACTTCTGTTGGACATGATGAATAGGCTTTGAAATTGCTTATGCTTCAGTGGCTTGTTGGGGCGTATTTTTTTTAACCAAAAGCATATGCGGTTTGTTCCTTCGCAGCTACGCCTCTGATGTGACTTCGGGCTTGAGCGACGGCTACGAGGGCCTATCAGAGAAGAGCGAGAAAACGGCGGCGAGACGAACTGCCGGGAAGCTGTTCAGGAGGAGAGCGCGCTCACGGCTTCGCATCACAGGGGTACAATAAATCAAATATTTCATTTAATTACACCCCTGCAAATGCATTTTTTCCACATGATAAACAAATAAATCAGCTGTACCGAATTATTGAATTAGCGGAGGCATTTTCTTTATGAGCGAGCGGTGAAGCTCCACCCTGATTATGCAACGTTATCAGTAGCTACGCTGTTATTTCCCCGGTGACCGCAGTACATTACTCTTCTGATCAGGACACTCTGTGGTCTTTTAATGAGCGTGTTTGGACTGGCGGCAGAGACAAACAGATCAGGCATTACCACATGTGCATACCGAGGTGCAAAGAGTGCAAAGATCAACACACACACTCACACGAGCACGCTGCATGTCACACACATGCACGAACACAAAAACATATTGTCCCCCCTCGTGTTTGCTCAGGTAAACACCTTTCATGACCACCGATCCTCTCCGTCTCTGCAGCTGTCTGATAAAGTGGACCGGGTGGTGGAGTGTCAGCTGCAGACGCACAATGACAAGATGGTGACTTTCAAGTTTGACCTGGATGGAGATAACCCAGAAGACATCGCTGCTGTCATGGTGAGATATAGTTAGTGTTATGTACAGGTACTATGAACTATAAATACCACTTTGATGCGATTTATTTTGCTTTCATGGGAGTCATGTACTGTACTGAATTTTTGTGGTGTTTGGTTTTGGACCAAATCCCCAAAGAAATCTGCCTAATTTCAGAATGTTGCAACGTCAGCAGTTTGAACTTGATGACTGGATTTAACTTCATGAGAACCCCGAACCCGCTGATGGGTTTGAAAAACACGTTATCTTTAAAAAAATTTCAAAAGTGATACCATCCACCAGATCCAAAAACCCTAGAATCAAAAGAATTCTTGTTTTTTAACAGTCTGTGATATGCTGTTTCCATCAGGTAACCAAATCTAAGCTTACAATTAGGATATTTCAGCAACATCACACTTATTCTACATGTCTCATTTAACACTCATCATTGCAACCTTGAAGCTATTAGTAGCTCAGCTTCAACTAACAGTTATATCACAAAAATTCTGGCTCTTTTAAGCTGATCCGGACTGAACTGCAGGCTGTGTTGCAGAACAGGTGGGAAACAAATTAAAAATATAAGTAGTAAAACATCTATAGTATGAGGAGTTACCTTTTTTCTAGTATCTTTTTTATGATTTATGACGTTATAAATGTGTCAAGCATGCGTCTACTTCTTCATGGTTGTTCTGTTTCCTCAGAGGTGCGGGGCTTTATATTGCTGTAAAAAGAAAATGACTCCACAGTGAGAAAGTATGTGACAGGATCATAAAACGCCCAGAAACTACTTGGGGGCGTTGAGAGGTTTAAAGTGGTCTTGTGAAACTTTTGCTGGACATCAGACGCGCTGGTTACAGATGAAAGTGATGTGGTAATCGCAAGAAGACGTAACAATAGGGCAGTGACACCAAACCTCATGTTCATGCTCCACCAGGGAGTTTTTTTTACTCACTTATGAATTCAACTTTTCATGTTATTTCAAAGTTGTGTTGAATTAAATGGAAGTTATTTTTCATTTACGTTCTATTATTTCACCTCTTGAACGCCACTGACACAGCGTTAGGGAAGTCTTTACAAACTAAAGCCAAAAATTTCAGTTTTAGAGGATTGAAAAAGAAAAACCTTGCTAAAAATAACTGATTTTCTAGAGGGACTTAACCTCCCAGTACGTTCTACAGTTAGTACAGACTTATTCACTCCGTCAGCTGATAACTCAGAGTCTTCTATCTCAGCTGAACGTACACATGATTCATTCTCTTCTGGGCGTTTGTTTGTCGATCTTAACGCTTGCTGATAATATATCTAACTCAGAGAGACGTGAGTGACGCAGGTAAGCAGCTCCATCCTCCCCGTTACTGTCTTTATTAGAGGACCGGAGTGTATTCTAGAGAGGCTTCGTGTGTGAGGAAGGCGTGATGAGGCAGCGTGTGCAGCAGCACTTTGTGTTCACTGAATGTACTGTTTCGCTCACTCCAACACAGTGGGCTTTTGTTTACCGTGTCTTGGCGCAGCAGGGGCGCTTGGCATCACAACAGCCCCGTGGTTCACAGTAAAAGGCTTTTAAACGAGCTGAATTATTCCACGCTGTCAGGAAAAGATCACCGCGCCCCGACCCACAATTCACAGCAACACTCAAAACTGCATAAATATGCAAAACGTCCTGTAAATAAACTGCTGCATTGTGGATTTTTACATGAGGTGTGTTTTTCCCTAAGAATAAGCATTAGCTGGAGGGAGGTGGGTGGTTCTGTTTCGTGGGATGGACACAAAAACAGACGAGCGATTTTTGTAGAAATGCGCTTAGAAGCATGTATTACTCCCTTTGAAGTAGTGAAATACAGGTTTAGGACACTTAAAGTTTTCGTTCTGTTTTTTTTTTTTTCCACTTCTACTTCACAACATGATGATGTAAATATTGTCCTTGTTGATTCTCTTTCGTGACATGATCCATGAAGTGATTTTTTCAGATGTAATTCTAAAATAGTGTGAATTTTTATAGAATTAACCAACCAAATTTATATAAAATGATTAAATTACCTTAACCTCGAACAACAATATGAAGTTAGTATTACCAGTTGATGGGTCATAACGTGACACTCTTTTCGTGCCAAATAAGTTCATTTACTTTTGATATATTAAGTACATTTTAATGCTAATGCCTATGCTTTTATTATTGTGTTATAATAATAATAATGATAATAATAATAATAATGATGATGATGCTAATCGTAATAGTAATAATAATAATAATAATAATAATAACAATAATAATAGATGACTTCCTTCCACACAGTCCAAAAACATGTTGAGGTTAATTGGTGATTCTATCTATCTATCTATCTATCTATCTATCTATCTATCTATCTATCTATCTATCTATCTATCTATCTATCTATCTATCTATCTATCTATCCACTCTCCTAAAGTATCTGATTACTTTCTCCACTGCTGTTCTTTTGTCTTCTAGGTGCACAATGAGTTCATCCTGCCCTCAGAGAAGGAGGGATTTATCCACCGCATGGGTGATATAATCAAACGTGCCGAGGCTCTGATGGCCAAAGACCAGCCGGTCCACTCCGGCGGACACCGACTGGCCCAGCCGGCGTTCCACGGCGGCGTTAACTCCTTGTCCTCCTCTCAGGTCAGCAGCAGCACCTGCTCCTTTCCACTAATCCTTATCGCAGCTTTGTTATCTGAGAACAAAAGAAGTAACAGAGCGTGTGTGTTTTTTACTGTGCTGTCTGATAGTCGTAAATTACATCAGCTATAGCGTGTCTGCGAGCTGTGCTTATCTAAGACAGACCCATGAATCAGGCACGGATGGAAAGCTGTATTGCTTCCTACACTGGTAATAAAGAGAATCTCAGCAGAGTGCTTTCCTCACTGTCCACCGTCCCTCCTGAGACCTGCCCTTAAAGACTGAAGGTTAAGTGTTCTCAAAGCCACCAGAGCTGGAGCTTTCACTTAGGACATAATGTTACTAAAAGCACTAATGTCGTAAAACCCACAATATCCCGGGTCTCCTTTTTTTTTCACATTTATTTGTTCCCACAACCACAAATCCTTTCCAGTGCTTACAACATAATGAACTTTCCAGCATATCTGCCCACAGTGCATTGGTAAAATAATTTATGCTTGGATGTATTAGGCTTTTATGAATCAAGGTTTCTGCGAAGCTATAAAATCAACTTCCAGGAAAAAAAGAGTTGTTAAGAGCAGTGCCATCCTGTACAAGATATGACCTAATGCCTAATCAGATACAGTTTGTCTACTTAAGAAGAAGGAGCGTCTGTTCTGCTAAGGATGTGTTCCACTTTGTAGAATACAAAGAACAAAATCTTCCCGTGCCCACTTGTACGTATGAAAGGAGATGTTCATAAATGGATAATTTCATGTTGGACAAGAGACTACAGCAGCAAACCTTCAGTGCCAGAAATCTACATTCCAACCTGCTGGCTGCATAATTACTGTGAAGCACATTGAGTGAATCTCTTCTGGCTTCACTCCAACACCTGGTGATTGTAAGAACACCGTCCTCCAAGAACTTATTACTGCTGCACTGTCCAGCTGAGAAAAAAAATGAGTTAACTCAGGAAGAAACTGACAAGCCCAGAGTCTCATCTGTCTGCAGCACCTCTGTTCTGGCTTTTGTAATCCTGCGGTAGGATGCTATTCTGAGATTCTATTAATAAATTCTATAAATGGAGCTTGAATCCCTGGAAAGCTTCTCCAGCTGTTGCTAGTTTCCTTCACCCACCACTGGAAGAGCAGGACAAAGAGTCTGCAGCCTCACCGGCAGCTGTGCCCCCCGCTGCAAGACTGTGAGATAATTGCTAACGTGAGCAAATTAACATGCTCAACGTGACAATGCTAACAAGACGTGCTGATCTCAGGCAGATGCTCTGTTTACCAGGTTCACCAGGTTCGTCTAATGTATTAGCACAACTAACATCTGCTAATTGAAAACAGTGCATCCGAGGCTCACGTGTCCATATGGAGTTTATTTATGTGCTGCAAATAGAACTGGACCATTTAGCTGACAATTTATTACAATAAAATGTTTAACTTCAGTGGATTTCAATAATTATTGATGAATTTACTTCTTTTTAATAACGAGCAGCAATAAAAAAAAAGGTTTGTTTCAATTTAGCCTATTTATCAAGGTATACAGGTAATAATTTTAAGGCTAGCACAGCAACGAAAGATGCACATATAAATACATTTACATGCATAAATAAAGAAAGCAAGTAAAACTCAGAGACGTATGAAAGTAAACCATGGTGAAAAAACTGCCTGTGGATTCACTGTCAGTATGTTTTAATTTTAAATTTGAGAATAAGATGTTTGAACAGCAATATCTCAGGAACTATTAACGATAAAAGCCTGGAATTTTCACACGTGTTTCTCATTATGTTGTTTATTCTGAATCTGTAGTATTCGGCAAGTAGATCAAATATTCTCTAATTATGGGTGACTTAAAATATGAAAAAAAAAAATTGTAAACACATCGAAAAGTACCATCTTTGAGCACAAATTAACAAAAGAATTGACGATGGAGAAGTCAACTAGTGATCTTTTCTGACTAATATGTAGCTGCATGTCGGACAAATACAAAATAAAATATATAAAATACTTTATAATATTACTTTGGTCACAAAAATGAAAAAGAAAAAAAAAATTCCATTAGCTTTTGCAACTGATTGAACAGTCATGACAAGCTGTACCACAAAACAAAAATATTATACATAGCTTAATCTCTTTTGATGTTATCAAGCAGTTTCCACAATGATCATGAGATTTTGAATGTTACCACTAAAGCTTTGTTTAAATAAGAACATCAGATTAACATTAAATATATAACAAGGCATGAAAATTCCCTAATAGAAAAATCTTCTCCCGACAGATCTACAATCTGTGTTTAGTCATGGTTATGTTTTGCCGATGTCATCCTACTGACTTAAAGCTTTGATATTTCTCAAAGAAACTGCATGACGTGTCGCCTTCAAACCAAGTTTCATGCGTGCAATGTGGGCAAATTAAAAACATGATCATTTAACAAGATATGCTTTTTAAATTTCAGGCTTTTATGTTAAACAGTTCCTGAGATATTGTCATTCAAAAATAGCCTCAAATTTCAATGCACATAAAAAATGTGCTTCAAGGCAATTTAAAAAAAGTAATTGAGCTTGGAAAGTGTCTGAAATTTCACAAATATATTTCTAAGATTCATCTTCCAGGGCCTGCATTTAAGCCACAGGGAGAGTGACAGATAAATTCTTTACAGCCAATCTAAGTATTAACAGAGAAAAGAAACTTTACTGTCCAACTAATACATGTATATTGCACTAAACTGACAAGTAGTATAAACCTAAGAACCTAATCCTGGCAGGTGCCATGGTGGGACTTCCTGGGTCATTCTTCTTCTTCAGAATCAGTTTCCAGTTCAAACTTGTATGACTGAATTTCTCCAGTATTGTTTAGTGTAGAGACGTTTTACAGTGTTTGGGGGTCATAGATGAGCTCGATCTGAAAGGAGGATGCGTTCCAGGCAGAAAGAAATAATTTTCATGGAGATACCGTCTTTATATAATGTCAATGCTTAGAGATGAGCTTTTAAATCAGAGACCAGAGAGGGACTTTAATTTTTAAAAATCATTGCCAATCCATCCTGAGACATTTTGCTCAAAATTGCAAATATAGATGGCAAAAATCAGCATGATCTCTGAGCCATGCATGTGTGTGAAACATTTCTGTGCTTATCTATCAAGTGGCTGTTGAGATATTTCACAGTAGGATAGAAAACTTGAGGATTCATCCTTTGGGAATCATGAATTTGTGTGTAAACTTTCATGTAAAAGTTGTTGAGATGGTTACGTTTGGACCTGAGTGGTGGATTAAACCAGCGAACTGACAAACCTCCATCATTACAGCGAAAGAAAAATGAACGGCTTCTCCACCTCTCGGGTTTTCCAGATGGATTAGAGCAGCCAATTATCCAGATTATGGAGGTTAAAAATCTCCCCATAAAACATGCCTCGTATAAGTGCACAAAGATGCAGTAATATTTATATTGACTGGTTAATAACTGGGATTTATTGTGGAAACACAAAGTCTTTACAGCCATTTTAGTTTTAAAAGAGAAAAGAAAACTTTGTTGCACACCTGATACATGTTGTATGACACTGACAAATCATATATACCTGAGGTCGGGTGTCGGGGTCTCTTGCATCACCCCGTGTTTTAGTGCCCGGCTTAGAGGCTCATTACATGGACTTCACACGTCAGCAGCAGCTTATGAGGAGTCACTGCACAGCTTGTAAAAACGGCAGCTCAGCTTCTGAGGTTTCGGTGAAGAATTTTTCAAATCTCAGAATATTACAGACATCAACTGGGTGTGTAGGTCTGGCTCAAGATTAGTTCAGAAATCCTGCATTACTAATAAAGACTTCAACTTTGAAAGATGCGGCAAAGGAGTCTAATTGAAGATGGAAATAAGTTGCATCCAAGAATTATGGAAAGTGCAGGATCTGGTGTTTCTGGAGCTTGACTAAAGCTGCACTATAGTGGGAAAAACTGACACGTTCATATCAAAAATAATACAGGATTTTTCACCACTTCCCTTGAATTTGGATAGAAAAAAATCATTCTAGAATGTTTGGAGTGATTTTGTAGGATCTGCACCAAAAATACATAATCTGACAACGACATCCAAAATAGTTTTTTGCTTTGGATGGCATTCAGTTTTGGGTTTGCACTCATCATGCAGACAACTGATGTTCCTTTATCTTCCTTCTCAGTGTTTCTCTCCCGTTCCTCGCTCATTTATCTGTGAACATGTGGAGCCTGCATGTCAGCAAACTGAAAAAAATAAAACTCTGTGCATCCCAGTACCCTTGAATCTGAGTAAATTATGTTCAATCAGACAGACTTCTTTTGAATTCATCATGAAAAATGACAACAGTGAGAGTTTTCTTTTTGTACAAAGCAAAAACAGGTGTTTCACTTAGTTTGCCTGCATTTACTTCACAAAAAAAGATGTGTTGTGCAGCCCTAGTGTTTGTTGCATCAATTAGAAATCCTCCAACTTTGTTAACTCTTCAGAATACTGTCTCAACACCAGTTAGTGCTTGTCAGCCCTGTAGTGTAGCTTTGAGAGTCTTCAGATACAGTGCATAACAGAACATTTCAACATTTTTGTCAACAATGAATTCAAGTGAAAGCTGAGTTTAATCAAATGTGTTCTCTTACAGCCCAATCTGCACAGTCACACCCTTCCTCGAACTCACTCCTCCTCCTCTCTGCCTGGTAAGTCCTATGGGAGCGATTTAATTCACCCATTAAGGCATAATGTGATGCTGAGGGATATTAAAAATGATAGGAATCTGAACCTGGAATAACCTCTTAGGAGTTGGATTTCACCTTTTACCAAGTAGCGTTAAGTGTGTGCAAATTGCATAAAGACTGTCTTTCTCACAGCATGTCAGATTAACGAGCTCCTTTTTTATCCTGTGCATGTGTGTGTGCGATCACGTGTGCACGGGCGTCCACTCATGCATGCGTGTGTCTTGTCTTAGACTACAGTGTGGCTAACCCGAACGTAGGGGTACGTGGCTCCCCCCCATGCCCCAATGGAGAGGCCTTCAGTGCAGACATTACTTCACCTGGGCGACCTCTAATACGCTCACAGTCTTTCCACAACGCCCCAGGTAAATAGCCCTGCACCCCTCCCTCTGGTCCCGCGTCAAGAGACCGAGCATTGTTTACTGTTTCAGCACACTGAAAAATTGCTACAGTCCAGTTGGCAAAGAATAAGTCAAAGCGAAGCTCAGCTACCTCATAAACCCCCCCTCCCCTCCTCAGGGCCCTTTTCTTGGTATTGTTCAGACACTCACATGGCGCCATTCGCCATCCCCACACCTCAAAGCTTTCGTCTGTGTCTGCCTTGCAGCAGGGCCTCTTGGGTAATTACCTCACCTGAAGGGCGCTTTCTGGCTTTTAGGGAGCTGTGAATGGTGTCGCTGTAAAGCATGAGGTTTCTCCACTGCTGCGATAGTCAGCAACATCTGTTTGCCAGCACAAACTCCTGCAGAATTTCCAAGAAAGTCTCCTCCCACGTCAAAGTCTCCCTCCCCACAGGAGGGGCATTTGAAGAACACATATCCTTCATATGTCCTCAATTTCAGCCTCAGCTGTCATCTGAACATCCTCTTTCCCTCTTGTCTTGGTCTCTTCTCTGCTGGGTGTCCACTGCATGGCTGCTTTCGCAATGCTGCTTGGCCGGCGGCCACCATTACAGAGTGTTGCTTAACCTATGTTTCCGTCAGCGTGGAAAAAGTAGAGGCTGGTTTGCATCATCAGCAACAGGAGGTGTGGTTTATGACTGTGGAGCCATTGTTGAAGCAAATGTCAAATCAATGGATGGGGCGAGGATATTGGCATCCTAAACTATTCCTCGAGGAGTGATGAAGAAATCCTGATTTCTTTAATCTTACAATCAGACCCAAAAAGCTCGTGCACACACGTGTGTTCCATTTAAACTACACATAAAAGCCTCCCTCCTCGCTCCCATTGATGCTAAATCCCTCACAGCCATGTAAGCCCGGTGTGCAACTGCTTCAGCTTACAAACGCAATTACAGTTGGATGCTGCTTTCAACAAAACGTCTTTGTTCACCATGGAAACACACTATTTGTAAGTACGGGAAAGATTTTTGCTCCACATGGTTGTATATCTTGGCCGGAGGTTGAAGGAAGGATTGGGTGACGAAACCCTGAAGAGTCAGGAAGAACCAACTTGTCTTTCTGGGTCAAACTCTGTCCAACATTCCACTCCAACTGTGCAAGATTTAAAACTACATTTGCATGCAGGAGCTAGATGGGGACATGAAGAAGCATCTCACTTAGTTTAGTTTACACTAATTGACTTTACACCACAAATTAAAACTGCTGTCTCTCTGTCTTCTAGGTTCTCCTCTCCATTATCAGCAACACCACCACCCTGCATCCCTCCTACCCCACCACCAGCACTACCACTTACCCTTCATGGGCCACACTCACTTCCCATTCCCATACCCGGGGTCTCCAGGTTCATCGAAGCCAGCGGGGATCCACCCTCCCCTCACACGTGTAGCCAGTAACCCCACCTTCCCTTCTGTTCCCTCTCCAGCCCCCAGCTCCCCAAGTCCTAAGAATGAAACTCCAAGCCCCATTAACAATGAGAGTGTTACCATGTCCCCACCTGCCCCTCAGCATCCCAACATGTGGCCCCCTCACACGCAGCCTCTATTTTCCTTGGCTAATGTGATCTCCATGGCCATGAGCATGGCCCAGTCTTTCATCCCTCCCACCAGCCTGCCCAACCAGGTGATGCCCTCATTTCCAGGTTTTCACCCTCAGCTACCCGGTCCCATGGCCCCTCAGTCAGGCTACCCCTCCGTCTACCCACACTACCAGACTTCTCCAGACGTCTCCTACCCCGCGGTGGGCAGCGTCTACCACAGCCCTGAACATATGCCTCAGATGGACGGAGCCGCTTTCCACCCGAGCGTTCATCCACAATGGCCGCCTCATGTCTCTCCCCCCTCCATGCCCTCCACCCCTCCACTGGCTCCTCCAGAACCTTTGCAGCCGGTTGGACTCTGCGGTTCCCCCAGTCTGACCCAGGACCACAGTTACGCAGCTCCGTACCCAGCACAAGTTCCAGCTCAGGCTGCTCCCAGATCAGAAGTCTCCATTTCAAGCTCCTCGTCAGATCTCTCCCCGTCACCTCCAGAGAGCCCAGAAAGCACTGTGAGTGCTCCATGCTTTTATCTCAGGGATTATATCTGCTAAGATTCCTTCAAAGCCACGTTGAGTCAGTGCTGAAATTATCATCAGATTAATCAGTTTGCTTGTCAGCGGGAAATTAATCAGCAATCTGGATTATTGGTTAATTGTTCTGCTATTAACTCTCTGAACTCCAAGTAGTTTTGCTTTAATGCTCCTGTCACAGGAGTGACAGGGCTATTTTTTTTTTTACTGCAAATAAAGTCCTGCACCTCTGTAGAAACAACACAACCATAGCTATAAGTAGAGAGAACACAAAAGTGTCTTTTGTGCTTTATGACAAAGTTATAACGCCATACATTATTTAAAAAAAAGACAAAAAAGTTGAAAATCTTTGATTGTTTATTTTCCAAAAATGTACAAAACCTGGTATCAACCGCATTTGACCAACAGGTGTTACCATATATATACAATTATGGCTTTACATACCATACTTACTACTACTATACCACTTACATTTTGAATTTCTTTCCATACTTTTCTCCTGTCTGCTCTGTGTAAACACAACCTGCAGTTCAGCCAAAGAAAGTCTCTGACTTTTTGTCATGTGACTGTTGGTTGCAGCTGATTCACTCATGACTTCACAGTTGCACAGAGAAGTTCAGAATTTTAGTTTTTATTGCAGAATCTGGTTTGAGCAGTTCGTTTTTGGGCCTTTTTTAAATGAATAAAGTGATTTTGATGAAATATTTGATTACGTTTCCCAATGGAACATCACATCACAGATGAGTAGTACAAGGACAGTATAAAAGCAGAAAAACCTCTAGCTCAGAGAAATGTTGTCATTTTTACAATTTTTTAAGATAACATGCTTTTTAAACCCAGTGGCAGATTTTGGGTTTCAGAGGGTTAAGCAGCAATGCTGAATACTCGTCTAGCTTCATCTTAGCTTCACTGATGTCAAGTTCTTACCTCTTTTTTTATATTTTAGATAGCTGTAAATTGAGCATATTTAGGTTTTGGAGGATTTTGTGGACATATCAAAGTGTAGCCTGGGAAACTTTGAAATGGCATTTTTCATAATATCTGACACTTATGGATACAGAGATGGTTCCTAAATTAACAGAAAAATATCGGGATACACTGAAGGTTTTTGTATTTTCATAGCTGAGGAATCTGCAGATATCTCTATTCTGTCTACTACAGAGCATGAAACTAGTTAAATCATCATTTTATGTAAGCCGGCATTTGGTAAGAGTTGTCGGTGGCACAGAAACTAAGTTGGTGGCCTGCTGTACTGTGAAATACTTTAATTTTAGAAAGACAATCACAAAGCAACTGACTTTAATTTGGATCACACGTGTCTGGTCAGCTCCCTGTCAGCTGCAACACTCATGCTAATAATATTCCTTGTCCCTCTCTAGTTATCATCCCTGTGCAGTCCGTTGCGCCCCGCTGTACCCGAGATGAATGCAAGCAGCACAAGTCTGAAAGCCTCTTCCACTGAATCTGGTAAGAAACTCTGCGAATGTACTCATGTTCCCAAAAACAGACCTCTGCACCATTAACACCTCAAATGATGAATGTTTTTAGCCGGGAGCTTGGAGAGCTGGAAAATGACATACTGTATAATGTTTACGTTTGCAGCCCAAACAAACCCACACACACACTTGTGAATACACACAAATGCACCCACAGCAAAATATTACATTTTATTCCTCTCTTTCATTTTGTGTTGTATTGGGTCAAAACACAGCCCGATGTCTCTGTTACAGTCAATTTGCTTTCTGAACTGTTTTTTCAGGCCCTTCTCTCTCTCTCAACATTATCACCTATTAGTGGAGCCTCAGAAAGTGTTGCGTAACCTGCAGCCTGGATGTAATGTTCCGTTCAATATGAACACGAACGTAGGTGTGATTGCAGCCCGACCCACTGGCGATGGCCAATCGGCAGGCGGCTGTGCTCATTACGGGCCTCTCCTCCCATATCCACACCTGTCAGTATTTATACTCTCCTTTATACCCTCAGAAGCCCACATTCAACAGAGCCCCTCTGTTTCAGCGGGCACAGAACCAGACGCTCTCTGTTATTACTGTAAGAAGGACACTCAGTGGGCAGACTGAGGCACTGCAGGCTTTGAATGCTCTGCAGATGTGACTCAGGCTGTTTATCTTTGAATACCAGGAAACAGCTATCAGTTACTTTCACTGCCACAAATTAAAGCTCTAGAAAGGTTTCGATCCACATTAGGAGTTTTGTTTTTAGAAAATAAGACAGAGTGGTACATATTTAATCTATCTATACTCCAAAAGGCATTATCTTTAAAAAAAAAAAAAAAGGAAAAAAAAAGTCAAAAAAAGTTTTTAAAAAGTCCAAATAGCACCATTTATCAGAGCTAGAAACCATAAAAACAACTTCCCGATGGTCCTTGAACTACTCATCTGTCACTTGTTTATGTCAGTAAGCCTAAACAAATCTGAACTTAAAATAAGGATATTCATCTTAGTCTGTGTGTTTCATATAAAAAAATCCAGTCCTTGATCTACTAATTAGTGACTTGCTATTGATATTTCAATAAAATTGCTTTATTCTACATTTCCCATTTTAAAATTTGTCAAAATAAATTGTTTGCTCTAACTAGATTCTTTAAAAACAATAAAATTGCGTGTGTTGGTGCAATTGGGAAACCAATAGTGACTCAGCTGCGACAAACAATCACAAAACAAAAATTCAGGGACTTTTTATTTTGCTTTTAACTGGCTGAACTGCAGGCTGTGTTTACCCAGAGCCAAACGTGAAAACAACACAAAAATGTAAATAGTAGTCAATCGTGAAATATCTATAGAATGTTGAGTCACCATTTTTTCAGTATTGCCAATACAGGTGGGTTCTTGGAAAAAAGTTGTACATGTTTAATGCAGGTTTTTCAGTTTTTTAAAATATATTGCAGTGAAAATCCACAGTAAGGAAAAATGTAACAGGGACTGCTGGGGGCTCAAAGGATTAAAAAACACCTGATCAGATTTTATTCAAACTCATGGATGACTGAGGCTGATTCTAATGATCAGTCAGGTTCTGATCAGATTAGAAAACAATCACAGCTGTTTAACTAGTGTCTGGCCATCATAGCTGTCCAGATGTTAGAGCTTTTCATGGTTACTAAAAGTAAATAGAGGTGGATGCTGTAGCTGATCAGCATTGATGTTAATTAGAGTCATGTGCTTATTTAAAAAAAAGAAATAAATAAAAAATCAGTGTATTACACATGTGTTTGGATAAAGATATGCTACCTAACAGCACTTTTTCCTCCCTTACGTTATAGAAGTTCAGTCGGCACCAGTGACTGTTGGGAGGTTCCAGGTGACGCCCAGCATGGACATCCCTGCACCTGTTGCTCCGGCGGGTGCTGCACCTGCTGCACCACAACCGGCTGACGGAGGCAGCACCCAGTCAGAGAGCAGCACCGAGGAGCAGGGGGAGTCCGAGACCAGCCTGGGCACCTCCCTCACCATGTCCCCTCCTCACCCGCCGTTCCACAGAGGGTCGACGGGGGTCCTGCAGGAGGTGGACGGGCAGGCGGGGTGGGCCGTGAGCCAGGAGCAGCAACAGCAGCAGCAGCAGCAGCAGCAGCAGGTCAGAGATGAGGAGGAAGATGAAGAGGAGGATGAGGAGGAAGAAGGGGAAGAAGAGGAGGTGGTTGGGGAACGGCCGAGGGTGAGGAAGAGGAGTCGGAGGAGAGCGTACAGCCTCAGCCTGATGGGGACGTCGGCGGACAGCGGGCTCTCGGTGACGGCGGCTGAGATGGAGGGGCGGCTGTGGGACGGAGCGGCGGGGAGTCCGCAGTACAGCAACGCCCTTCACCATCTGTGGATGATGACCTACAACCGCAACACTCCCTACCTGAGCAGCGACGACTCCGACAGCGACGACTCCGACATGCTGGAAGAGCTCCAGGAACTCAGAGAGAAGTAAGTGGCGCCGCTGAAGATGCCCAAATGTGGTTTCCAAAATGAGTACAAGAGTGGTATTAATTTGAAAAGTGGAAAAAATGGTTCAGAAAATATGGAACATTTTGAAATAGTCATCTAGATGGGACTGATTATGAGTACTGACGTAGGAAGGAACATTCAGAGCTTCATCTGGGCTCTCACACTCACTTATGCAACAATTTTCTGTTGCTTTAGTGATTTGATGGAATTTTTAAAATTGAGACAAGACAAATTATATATGAATCTATTCTGACTATTTTTACTTATTGTTTAAGGAAAAAATTGAATTCAGAATCCACTTTACTGGCCAAACATGTGAACACATGCAAGGAATTTGACTACAGAGCTTCCTTTGCTCTCAAAGCCCTTTTAGAAAATAAAACGCAAAAACAAGGGCAACAGGTTACAGAAGGACAGCTATAGATATGTGTAAGAGAGAATACAATCTCTGGTATGAAGTCCAATGAAAAAAAGCTGAGGCTAACAATTTAGATATTTTTAATTAGCTGCTACCTGATAAATATCAGAAAATATGACTTGTTTTGTCCAAGGTTAAAATAAGATATTCAATTCGCAAGTCAAGTTAATTTATTTTTAAAATTTTCACAGATATACATACACACAGGCGTACATGCTCTTAAAGAAATGGAAATCCTCATGGACAACTGTCATTATTTACTAGAACTATTAGATTTATGAATTATCATTATTAAATCATACATTATCAGAACATTTTGGAGGCCTAAACCTTTTCAAGGATTTTCAAGGACTAGCAGACACCTGTTGAAGGGCCCTCTTCAGTAAAAACCAAGTTTTTTACCTTGTTGACATGTCCCCGTGGTTTTATATGCTAGAAGACATATTGTTGGCAAAATAAGCGGTCAACGCCATGTCGGAGTGTTTCCACCTTGAAACTGCAGTGTGCTGATGAGTTTTAAAAACTGTAGATTTGGACTTCCAGGGTTTCATATGTGACAAACATTAAGAACCAATTCTGTCAGGTTGCAGGGTGGAACTTTATGCATCCTTATTTTTTCCTCTGAATCGATTTCAAAGCCAAATATGTGTAGTTGAATTGCTCCAGTAACACAACTTGCCATTGTGCAGAGCATAGGAGAGCTGGTGTGCTGGAGCTGCAGTAAATGAGGCGGGCTGGGTGGAGATAGAAGCAGGGACGCCATTAATCTGCACATTTTTGAAGTGCACAGTTACGTCTGAACCATTTTCATGAAAAGAAACAACAAACTTTTAACTACGTAACTTTGATACATGCAGTCGTCCTCAATTTATTCATAAGGAAAAAAAACAGCTGTCACTGAAATAAGTTGAAATTGAAAAAAGTATTAATAAATAAAAATGTAATGAACATCATGACATTGTTTTAGAATTGTGGTTCAACAGAAATATTTTTTAAAAACATAACAAACAAACAAACAAAAACAAGGAAACAAGCGTGATGGGACCTGTAAACTAATATTTTGTTGAACAACCCTTTGAGCCAATCACTGCAGTCAAATGTTTTCTGTAACTCTCCATTAGACTTCTGCACCTGTTGACAGGTATTTAGATTTTGGCCCACTGCTCATCAGCAAAGTGCTCTAATTTGTCCGGGACAGTTTTGTTTTTTTAAATTATTCTTTCCAACCACAATTCAAAAGCAATGTCTTATTTCACTAAATTACAATTTCACAAATTTTTTATTATTATTCCTTTTTTCAGTTTCTAGTTATTTGAGTGACTATTGTAAGTTTTAATGGAAGGGTATGAATACATTTGAGGACGGCTGTATAGATATGTTTTAAGGGCTTTGATCAATGATGGGAGAGGGACTAATGCTCACATTTGCTGCTTTTTGTCCTTCATCAGACATCTGACAGAGGTTCAGGCTCTGCAGGCCGCCCAGAAGAGGGAGATCGAGGAGCTGTATGAGAAGATGGGGAAGGTTCCTCCTCCAGGCATCGTCTCTCCTGCTGCTATGCTGTCCAGTCGACAGCGCCGCCTGTCCAAAGGAAGCGGGTTCCCTTCATCTCGCAGGAACAGCCTGCAGCGCTTGGACATTCTGCCACTCCAAGGTAGCGAAGAACATCCATTTGTTTTTAACTAGTGAGTTACTGCCTGTAAATATGTGATAGCTTTACGCCTAAATGGGTTATTTATTCATAAGCCTTGCACTGTGTTTTCTAAGGTATCATTAGGAGGAACTCTCTTGGAGGCAGCAGCAGCGGCTCCCAGGATAAACCCAGCAAAGGCGTTCACTTTGCCACTGACATAAGTAGAATGGTGAGTGAATAATGCATTAACAAACTCTATTATTAATTTCAAACACAACAAGCATGCATTGATCTTTATTGTGTTTCTTTTCCAGTAAGAAACTCTCAGCCAAGCATGCTGTATGTCTGGACTACCTCATCTAAAGTGTGACTGCAGTGGTCAAGCCTGTCCCGTAGGAGGATCACTTTAACCCTTTTTTCACTGGCACACCGATCTGCTTTCCCTCCGCCAGTGGTCACTTTACCTCAAATGTACAGAAACTGTCATCAATACGGCTGGATTCACACAGGAACTGTAACATCTGGTTTTCAGCCCTTCATCAGATCTGGTGAATTTGTTGCAGCTGAAGCACACAACCGGTCTGGTTCATGTTAAAAGTTCTTTTTTTTTGTTTTCTTGTAAATAAACGGTTCGGTCGTAACCAGCTGCAGTCCAGGCTGCCACAGTACTCTGCGAAATGTCACGTCAGAGTCTCTAAATATTTCCTCCGAGCAAACTTTTTTTGCTTTAACGCAGTCAAGCGATGGTACAAAGTGCTGCGGGAGTTGCAGCACATTTGCCTCGATTTTTTGACCCAGAACGACAATGTTTTCCTGCTTGTCTGACTCACTGCTGTTTATCAATCTGAGCACAGTAATGTGAACCACAGTGAGGCTCTGACACTTTTACTGACAGTTGTTCTTCACCTTATTTGCTGTAGTTTGTTGATGATGTCTCAGCAGCTGCTGACTGCACAGTGAATTCATATATTCTCATTCAGTAGAGCTGTGATTATTGCCTTTCGAGAGGCTGGCAAGAACAGTCTAGATGCATTGTACAGTTTGATTCTTTCACACATGTATTGTTAAAACATTCTGTTGTAATCTATGTTTGGTTTCTTTGGTGATTTGGACACCTGACAGGATGACCTACATTCTCTAGACTCCTAGATGAAAATGACTTTTTCCCCATCGTATAGCAGTACAGTGAGGTATCATTTCTATTAACTCCAGCAGCCACAACATTAAAACCACCTGTGTAATACTTTGTAGGGCTGAACACGGGAACGCTGATGGGGTCTTGTGGTGTCTGCCATCGGATGTAGTGCAGCAGAAGCTTTGGGTCCTGTAGATCTTGCTGTGGGGCCTCCATGGATCGGGTTTGTTCTGTTCTATCACACAAATGTTCCATCAAATTCGTAAGAGTTTTGGAGGCTGAGGCAACAATTTAGGCTTTTGGTTTTGTTCCTTTTGGAATATCTGTGTGGATTCTCAATCATCCAGGTCATGATAATCTGAAGAGCTTCAGTAGAAGACAAATGGACCTCTCATCCAAGAGGTTTCCTCAGATTTAACTGGATGACCGGTTGTCCCAAATATATATATTTTCACCAAAACCAATGGCTAAAGGTCTAACAATGACCAAAGACTCATGTGGCTTGAGGGGGGAATTGTGAAACTGTCAGATGGTGAAACTTTCTGTGGGGACGGAGCTCAAGTCTGCATTATAAGTACCGTGTCACAGACCTCCTTATTTGTTTAGAGAAGGCTGTTCCAGTTTAACAGAGATCCATAGAAGCATCCAGTTGCCTTCAGCAGAAGCTCCAATGAGTTGTGTGGTGTGTTTGGACACATTGTTCTGCTAGGGAAGGCCAGGACCCAAGGTTTTCCAGAAGAACATTGCTTTGCAATGAGATAATTAGTGTCATTCACGTTGCCTGTTTTAATGTTGTGGCTGCCTGTGTATGAAGATGTTAAAGCTACAGAGAGAAAATTGATGTCTAGCAGTTAGATGTGTTGGCATGTAGGATGCTTCAACAGAATCAATTAAGTGGGGAAAAAAATTGGTTACATTTTGCAGAAGCATAGAAAACAGTATTTTTTCAAATCGTAATGCTGGTTTAAAATAGGGGGAAAAAAAGAGGATTTCTTAATATTGATTTCAAAAATCCACCTAGACTACTGGCTTTCCTGTCGACTGTACATGTGTATATAATAGAATGCATTTATAGATGATGTTTACAAGTTATGAGTAAACTAAATATTTCAGCTACCTTAATTTGTTCTCAAGCAAAAATCATATTTTGTGGCTTGTTCCATAGATCAAGCACCTTGTGCACTTTAGTAAATGCGATTTTAGCTCTCAATCATTTAACACATTTGTGTTTGAAACTGTTTCGCTCGAGGAAGAGCTCGTAGGTTTCCCGTTATTTTTCCATATGGGAGGAAGAGAATATTCTCCACTTTATTTTCTGATCACGATATTTCACATTGGATCACAGTAATGATGATCTATTCTCCCACAGTTTGAAATGACGACTATATTGTGGGGTGTAGAGAAATCAGCCCAAGCTGTGAATCTGTAGCTGTTGCCTTATAAAATATTCACAACACACACTGAATTTCCTGGCAGTCAAACTTCTGTAATATTCATAATATATTCAAAGAAAAGTTTCATTTCAAAAAATTTGAATGTAAATATATAATTGTATTGCTTTCTGAAGCTGCTGTCCTGCCATGCTGAATCTGTGCCTTTCCCTTACAATGTCTTATTTTATATTTTTACTCTCGAGATTTGGTGGCTAGATCAGACTCTATATATTAAATTTTGACAAAAATAAATGCAATTGTAAATAGCACGGTTCTTTTGTCATGTTTACTGCTTGGCTCAGTGTTCTTTTCCTTACATAAGTGGTTATACAGAGACAACTGTTATAATACATCAGCTATTTTATTTTATAAATCACGACTTTACCATCATAAATAACAGTTTTCATTATGTTGATTCATTTCCGTAGGGTCTCTGGCGTTGTCCATTGTTGAAGGCCACTGTAGATTTAAAGTCATTAGCCGACTGATCTGGTGTGTACTCCTCCCACGCTGCACGGACAATACATGATCAGGGCTGGAAACTTCAGCTAAGAGGTGGTAATTATGCTACAGTCTGCGCCTTTTGTGTAGCACATAAGGTCATGTTGAGGTCAGTGGACTAATCCTTTCCGCTGACGGAAAGCCTAATTGAGATCAAGACACATCTAGATTTAAGTCAGCAGAAGAAGCACACATTTACCTTCCACAATCAGGACAAAACAAAGTCCAGTTTAGTCCCACCATTTAAAAAAAAACAAAAAAAAAAAAACAAAACAAACGGCAGCCAGTTGTGGAATATGAATCAGTGGCATCATAAGTCCCATCTTGGATAACTGCAGCACAGACACAATCCAACAAAAGGCAGGCAACGCATTCATCTCAGTTGGCACCAGTCTTTGGTCCCTGCAGTCTCGCACGCTTGGCCTCCTCATCGAGCTCATCCATGATCCGCTCCTGGGACACTGAGTAAAATGTGTAGCCGTCTAATGTAGGAGCAACTGGTCAAGGCAAACATTTGAAAGGATGAAGAAAAACACAACATACTGTACAGTACATGATAATGGAGTGATCCAAGCAGCTTGTCAGCCAGGTAGCTGTGTCATGGATGCTTGTAAGAACAGCAGAGGTTGAAAAAGCAATGTCACTTTACTAGGTCAACTAATGAACTATAAAACAAATGCATTGTAACAAAAATGAAACTGTGCTTCTAAATGATCAGTCTTTATATTATATTTGTTATATAGATATTTTTTGCCCTGGGAAACTACCTGTCTACTGCAGAGGACCCATTAATCTGTGGTTATGTTCTATTCATCAGGACCCTGTGTGTCAGTGTAGCAAACAAACATTCAATTATTAATATTATAATTATTGTCTGGGAACAAATTAAAAACTAAAGGGGAAATTGTTGTGCACACTGCATAAACCATCCTCCTAACCTTCAAGGCCCTCCATACCTTACTGAACTCTTCCACATAAACACACCCAGCCGGACCCTCAGATCATCTTCCTCCCTAAGCCTCACCATCCCTCCTGCCCACATGACCGCCATGGGGTCTAGAGCCTTCAACCGCTTTGGAACTCCCGTCCACCTGACATCCGAAACATCGACTTTCTGGCCATTTTCAAATCACGTCTCAAAACCCACCTGTTCAAAGAAGCCAACTCACTATGACTTTCATTCATCTCACTGCAAAACCTCTGGTTTAAATTGTTGCACAATTTCTGTTAAATTTCCTCCTTATAAGTTTTATATTATTATGTTTTTAACTTTGCTTATTGCTGCTTGTAAGGTGTCCTTGAGTTTTTTGAAAGGCGCCTATAAATAAAATCTATTATTTTTATAATACTCAAATGAAAGTAGTGAACTGAGGAGGTTTAACTGTGATATCTGTTGGCTAAGATTAACATATTTATGAGTAAATAGTGATGTCCAGCAGAAATGTTCAGGGTTTTTGCAAAATAATATATACATATATTTTTAAATTATTATTATTGTTATTATTTCTACATACTCTGACCCACAAATTTTCACTTCTGTAGCAGTCACATTACAGACTTTCCAGTTTTATTCTTCTTTATATTCTAAAGTTTAAAAAGTAAAATATTTTTTTACAAAAACAAAACAAAAAAAACAATTCTCCATGTTTAATGTCTTGCTTGGGAGAAAAAAAAAAGAAAGTCAGAAAGAACTGTTTTTTTGTTTTTGTTTTTAAAAAAAATAATAATTAATGTGTTTGGTTTTGCAACATCTGCCACGAGCAGCTGCCAGTGATGCGTTCAGGAAACAGGTTGGTCCCAAACACCTGGAAGGCATCACTGCTGTTGTCTACGCACTTGCTGAAAGCAGCTTTACCTCAGGTGCGCTTAAAGACTTTAGTGAGTAACCATTAACTTTTAGGTTTAAAATCAGTAGCTAAAACATGTTGAAGTACGCTAAAATACTCCAAATTCCTTACAACTGCTTTAGCTCGCTGCCATGTTTGTATTCAATGAAAGTTAGCGCAATTTAAAAGGCAGTTTTAAAAATTGGCTGCCAGTTAAAGCTTACATACAATACTAGCTTTGGGGTAGCTACTGCGCTGTGATATCTCGTTTAAGTAATTCAAAGTCATGGACCGCAGAGTAACTTTAGCATGCTAAGCTAACGTTACATAGTTCACCTTGTGTTGACGCTAGCGTGCTTGGCAAGGATACAGATGCCCAGAACGAGCGCTCCGATGGCGAGTCCCGTCACTACGTTCCGTGTCCGCAGCTTGGCCGTTTTCTTCTTCCATTGCTCCAGCTCTACCTGTCTGATGAAGTGCAGCTGCTCCTTAGAGAGACCCTCCTTGGTCGGGTCTAGCCTGCTGGCGAAGGGAGCATCAGACTTCTGAGGCGCCTTGTCAGCCATGTCTGCCGTCAGTGAGGCGGTGTGGGGCTGTTTTACAACTGTTGTCCGCAGTGCCGAGCTTCAAATTATCCGGCGGGTCTGCGGCGCTGTGAGTTTCCTCGTTAGCCTGTTAGCAGATCTGCGCTGAGCTCCAGCTAGCGCTGTTTGCGAACGGAACAAAAATGCGTTACGTCCAAATGAGTCCCCAGTAGCGTCATTTGGTTCCTAGTGGAAGACCAACGTTCCTGGAGGCGAAAAACCACGCGAACAGCGCCATCTTTTGGACAATATACGGTTTATTTTTTGTATTTCTACTTCATTGTGACAAGTTTTTACTCATTATTATACTTCAAGTTTGGTATAAATATAGCTCATTCCGTGCCCCCCAGTTAGAAGGCTAACGTTAGCGAGTGTAGCTAAAATGGCGAAGACACTGATTCGTTCTTTAGAGCAAAGTGACGTTGTGAGTTTGAAATTTCGACAAGCCTCTTCTCAGCTGCTCACTGATTTTCTAATTAATTTCAACAAAAGAAACAAAGACAACCTCAACAGTTTATCAAAATATAGCGGCAGCTTCAAGCGTAAAAGGCTCATCGGTAAGTAAAGGTTAGCAGATGGGTTTTTCATTTTAGCTAACTAATAACCGTTGTGGCTAATACCTGCTATTAGCTGTTATATGCTATGCTATTACAGTGTTTTATGCGCTAATTTCCTTTTTTACGGCGCTAAGTTTGGACATTTTTCTGTAAAATTTTGAATGCCAGTTTATTCGGTAAGTCTTGCTGCACCTAATGTGGTCTAGAACAACTGTCGTGCAATTAAACCCTTCCCTTGCTTTAGTTAATAATCAAACTTTACACTCACTTTCAAAACTATATTGCACTTGAGTTGTATTGCATTACAAGGAGTTTTTTTTTTTAACCGTTTAGTCAACCCTTACTGATGTAAATGGTGCAATAATTAATGTACTTTCCTGCCATAAAAAGAAAGAAACAGGTGAAAAGTTATGCATGATTAAGTTTAAAGAAAAAAAAACAAAAAAAACATAAGATTTTGAAATAATGGCGTTTTAAAACAAGATTGACTTAGCAAATGTAATGCACCTAAAAAAAATAATAATGCACAAATGAGAATTTGATGAACAATTAGTGCTATCTGCCTTTTCACATGAGTGTGTTTGAACACTTATTCATCGAAGTAAATATTTTAATGCCTATAAAGCAAATGTCAGAGTTTTAGAGCAGATTTATAATCTTGTTTGTAGAAGCAAACCCACTGCTTTTAGCCAAATTAATTTTTTACACCATGCACCAGGTAAGAGATTTTTTAATTTGCTTATATTACACACAGGTGTGACAATTAGTAGTTCAATGCTTCTTCATTACAAAGTGGTAATTTTTACAATGGCTGAATGAGGCATTTTTACACATGAAGATGCTGAAGTTAGTTTTTGATTTGTCAGGTATTATGTGGGGAAAAAAATATGTGAACTATATATATATATATTTTTTTGCATTTTCACAAATAGAACAAAGGTGCCATAAATTAGAAACACCTTTAAAGACACTTTGGCCTTTCTGAGAAAATCCAGTCCAGATTTGCCCAGTCTATATATAGTGGTTTTTAGGTCTGGATCTGTTTTTTTTGTGGTCCAGATGTGGAAAAAGCTGCTCAATTTCCCTTTTGCATTTTTACAAACAGAGTAAAGGTTTCACAAATCAGAAAACTGTGTTTTGAAGACTATCTAAGCCTCTCTGAGATAATCTAGTCCAGATTTGACCTGTTTATATATATAGTGGTTTTATATCTGGAACTAGTCTAATGTGGTTTTGTGCAGTGGTGACATTTTCATTTCTAGGATTTTTTGCAAATCAAATAAAGGTATTACAAATCAGAAACCGTGTTTAAACCCTTTAACGTCTCTGCGACAGTCGAGTCCTGATTTGACCCATTTCAGTACACTGGTTTCAGATCTGAACCTGGTCTAATTATGCAAGTAAAGCACATACACCTTCATTTTTTTTGCATTGTAACAAATAGAATGAAGGTTTTACCAATTTACCTAAAATGTCTAACACAGTTTTACATCAGTAAAATGCTCAACGTTTCCCTTGATTGCTGAATCAGAAGTTAACTTCAGGGTCATTGATACTATGGTGTTTAGTCCACTTCAGCACCATTCAGATTTTAACCTGCTAATTGCATCATTTTCATTTTTTTTAGAGTAAAATAAAAAAATAAAAAGCGAGCTGCTGTGCTCCAGGCAAAGTTGGATCATTCTACTTCCTTTCTATGCTTAGTCCATGTTCCACATTAATTTGACAGTAAATGCAGGCTACCTGAAAAAGCTTATGCTGTGGAATCAGGCTTTTTTATGATGACTGATAGAACTCTAAACACATGCAAAGCTGCACTAATTTTATTTAATATTAATTTGGGTGACCAACCCTTTAAGGAGTAGAAATGCAGCTGGTGAGGGGAAAAAGTTCACCCATAAAGTCCTGCAGCTCCACCCTAAATAAATAATGACAACCAATAATCTGCTGCCTTTGTTGCTGACAAAAAAAATCTGTCTATAACCTTATGATAGCTTATCTAACCACACCAACTTACAATAAAACAATAAAATGTTTTGTTCGTTACTTTATTGATCAAAGAGGCCACATTCAGTATGAGAAGCACCAGTCTTCACAGTGGTGTCTGCTGCAAATCTCCTCCTGTGAGACTGTGAAACTGTTTCCATAATAAAACACTTGAAGTGACAGAAAAATATCTTGACTTCAGTAGTCAGATCAGACTACAGCAAACAGCACAGTAATATCCGCATGGTTTTGATCAGCTATGTCACATTTTCAAGGCAAGGCGTGTCTTGTGCCAGCGGTGAGTGACTGAGCTGTACAGGACTACCTCTATATGGCCCACTAAGCCTCAGCATACCCTGTCATCACTCAGAAGTGTTTCAGCCACCTGGAGTTGGGAGCCCTGTCATTATGGAGGTTCAATCTCAATATAAATCTTAGCAGAGTCCACCAGCTGCCAGCGCCTCAGCAGACAAAGCCTGTCAGAGAGGAGGAGCTGATGGGAAGCAGTGTTAATGACTTCTAATGAACGTCCATATGCTCCCATGTAGTTCCTATATCAGCTAAAATATAGTTTATTTTAATACGTTCATGGGAATACGTTTCTGGTACTCCCGGGTTAACCTGTGTTCTGACAGAATGGACTGATGGTCCAGTTGCACAGGTCTGCACAATATAAGGAAACTATGCAATGTGAAGTGATGTTGTTCAATGCTGCAATAACAACATAATTTGCGACAAATTAAAGTGTAAATATAAAGAAACATTTAGGTACAGTTTAAAATGATTCAGCTATTTTCCTTTTTTGTCTTTGTTGGACCATCTGGGAATATGATTCATGTGAACAACCAGTGTGACTTGGAGATGTGGGCTCACATTTCATTTTATTGATTCGGTATTACGGAACTGCATGAACTCTCTTTGTGTGTCACCTGCTCAAACACATTCACTGATATTTTCTTCAACATTACCGTCTGCAAATGTGTTTTGTTTGTTCTGACTGTAGCCTGTTGACTCAACATGCAGAGTTCACGGCGCTGTTCGAAAAAGGATTTTAATGTTTTGTTTTCTGCTCACATCCTGAGTTCCTGTCTTGTGTTACTCAGAGTACATCCTCCTGATAACTCGAGAACTGAGACTTGACCCACTGGCTGGATACCACGCTATTGAATTACTTCAAAGGTAAGAAGGAGCAGTGCATATAGCTTTCCCCGTCTCACCTTATGCATTATTGGTTTGGACATGCCCTTATGTGGATTATTAACTCCCCCAGGTTCATGATCGAGCACCTTACAGATTTGCTCACCACACCCACACCTCCAGGTGCGACTGCTGAACAGCCACGAAGTTACGAGGACGCTATTTTTGACAAGCTCAAAGACAAATTCCCCCTCATCGTCTTCTCCTGCGTGCAGCTTGCAAGCAAACTGTCTTTGTACAGTCGTGTAAGCTCTGCTATTATTAACTTTCAAAATGCTCTGGAAAAAAAACAAAACGAATAATGTCATCATTTTCAAATATTTTCCAGATGATTGACAACAATGCTGCGGTGCGCTTTCTGCACTCGGTCGGCCACAGTGTTTCCAAACAGGCTGTCCTGGAGTCAGAGCTGATGGTCTTGAAAGGCCTTGAATTTAAACTAAACGTCCCGAACCCGCTAACTTTTGTGGAGATGCTTCTGGAGGTGCTTGGTAAGATAAATTCTTATTTCAAGCTTGCAATATGAGTGAAAAGGGGTCTTTGAAGATAATTCATTTACGAGCTGCATTTTACTGTGGTGACTAAACTCTTGAAGGACACAATGAGCCGTCCATCCCTGTGGATCGCCTTTATCACCTGTGCCAACATGTTCTCCAGTTCATCAGTCTGCAGAGGACGGCCATCTTTGACGCCTTGTTAATGACTACCACTCGGTGTGTCACGCCATCCAGGGAACTGAGGTATTACTTTTCTCTTTAAGACATATTTTCTTATGGTTTGGGACAGGTGCTTGTTGTTATGGTAGAGTGGACAAGCTGCTTGATTGGCAGATGAGTAGACTACCACCATCTGACATCTGTCTATCTTGTTTTGGCAGTGTGCTGTTGTGTTTCTCGTGTTTTATCAAAGAGCTATTAAATCATGACAGGCTAATGCTATTGCCGCTGTAGGTTATTAAACCTACAGTAAATGACTTTTTGGCAACTTGGGAAAAAAAAGCTGTGAACATACCAGTGATATTTTGTCAATCTTTAAGCTATGGTGAACTTGTTAGCAAGCAGTTCAGTCATCCAGCAGACATGACGCATTATTAGCATTCATTTGAAGGCTATATTCCTGTTAAAGTGGGGACACAGTATTTTTTTGGACTCACTGGACAAAAATTCCATACTACCCCTTCAGTATATTGTAATCCTGTTGGTCTGAGAGCACACTAGTCTTTGCACCTCCTCCTGGCTTCATTTTTGGGTTTATGAAACTCTAGCCAGTAGAGATAGATTTTAACCAGTTATAGAGGTTTCTACTGATCAGATGAGAGTTCACAAAGAACAGACAGGGGCAAGCTACAGGATATTTTCAATTCTGGCATTTTACTTTGCCTTTTCCAAATTTCTGCCTGCTGCAGCTTAAAAGTTCTGTTTCTTCACTTAAGTTTGAGCTCTGTTTGGGTTTTTGCCAACTTCTAAAGGATAACTCTTGCCTCAATAGCAGCTAAATACTCCACTTGCTTATCACTAACTTTGTTTGTGTGCTGTTTAGCGCTGAGCACGTAGTTCCTGGTTTAAACTCTCTGTGAGCAGTCAGTGTGAACAAAAAGTTACAGACGATGAAACCAAAACAATGAGCTGGAAGATGTCAAAAAAGCTACAAGATACTGTTTTCACTACACACACAGTCACTTTATTCATCTGGAAGCATTGATTATATCTGCTTTAATATGGCATTCATCATCTCTGAAAACCAGAGAGAAGTTTGTGACAGTGACAGAAGACTGCATGCTTCTCGGGGTCGGTGTCATCGCTGTGGCGACATTCATTCTCCATTTCAGAAAATGGAAGCAGGTGAAACCCTCGTAGTTTTCATAAGCCTTAAGTCTTTACTAAAGCTGGAGTGCAAGACTTTTACAAACAAATGAACGGCAGTTACATCCAAGCATTGACCAGTCAAGTTCAGTACACTGGATTTTTAAATCTGGTGACATTCTCATGTTGGTGTAGCGGGTAATGATGCATTTTAAATCAACCAGCAATAATTGATTTGCCAGAGCTGTGGAAGGAAGCAAATGTAGAGATGACAATGGAGTTGGCTACAGCAACTTAGAATGTGATGGAATAAACCTCAGAAGTGTTCAAAAAAGTTTGGTTCAGATTTTAAACCATCTCAGAATATCAACAACCTGATATTCTGAGGAAGTATTACAGTACGAAAAGAAAGCAATTAAAGGGAACAACAAACTTGGATTAACACTGGTGTGACTTTTGTTGGAGAGAAAAGAAGGGAAGGAAGTCACCTTAGTGTTCTTGGACAGGTTGGTATTTGTAAAATGTTTTGCAATAGGATATGTAATTATTACATTTAATCTACCTAAATAATGAATTATTGGCTTGAAAGTTCACCAGCAGGCCCATTTCATAGGCATGCGTTGGTCGTGTTTGTGTAGTTACTCTCACTGCCAGCAGGGGGACACAAAAGTTTTGCACTTCAGGTTTAATTACAACAATCAACAATAGTATTGGTTCTCATTGTTTAAGATGCCTAATTGCCACATTAAGTCAGCACATTGATCAGAGTGAGAGCATATTTAATCTCTCACAGACGGAGTCTGTGCAACGCAAACCACACAGGCTGTTTTTAAAGGCTTTTTCTTTAAATGCATTGCAGGTAGTCGGAGAACTGACCCACATCACTGGAATCTCAAGGAGGTGCATCAGTGACTTCGCTCATGTGACGCTGGTGCACATTGTTGGTACCAGTTTCCCTCAACTGTAACTTTAGTCTCATTAACTAATCCGCTACCCCCTACCTAAAGGTGTTTTTTTTTTAAGTGATCACTCTCAGTTGATCTGAGAGTGGCTCGTCCCATCCTACTTTCTCTTGACATAACTGTTGCAGGATTTGTTTAAAAGTGATTCTCAGTTTGATATTAAATATACTAAATAAAGATTTTAGCATTCAAAATTCTGTTTATATTCTTATTCATATATTTAACATTTAGATACTCGTTTGGAACCAGAATTTATTTATTTTTCTTGTTTCCAAATTGGGACAGATAAATACAAAAATCTACATTCTTACTCTATCAATCATGCTTTTGTTTTTATTAGATCTGGTAATCATTCAACAAAAGCCCCTGCTGGCTTTACAGCACATGCCAAGTAACTGGATAAACAGTTGTATAATGATATAGGTGTAAGCCACAAACTGGAACACTTTGAAAACATATCCGTGGGCATATGTCATGAATCTGGGTGTGTCCTGGGATGAAACTGTGGCAGGATATAGTCCATCTGAAAACAGAACCAATACTTCAATTACTGTTTTTTTTTTTTTTTTTTAAACGACGATTTAGTGATTCTGTCTGAGTTTATCTGTTGTAACAACTTTTGTAAAAATCGTCCCAGTCGAATGTTTCTGGATCCAACGTTACCCTCCCCCTACAAAGTTCACATGTTTCGACAGCATGGAGACGTGATTCTAGAAACAAAATAGTTATTCTTTTGCTGACAGTTTCTGACAACCTGCCTTACTGATGTACAATAATATGCAAGATTCAACTTTTCACCTTTGGGTGTCCAAAGACCTGACTGGAGTTTGGTCTGGATCCAAGTGTTCAGACAGTCAGAGTGAACAAACTGCAGACTTCCTGAACACAGACAGGGCGACAGCAGCAGGTTGGATGGTGAACCACCACCCTTAAAACTGATCCGACATTGGCGGCCCTCATCTGCATGTGCTAACTCCTCTGATAACCTGCACACAGCAGGACATGACCAAGTTTAAACTGCGTAGTAAGTTTTCCAAGACTAGTGATTGCCTGCACAAATTACTATCATATTGCTATCAAGACATAGTTTTATAATTACATACTGTAGGAGTTTCTAGTGAAATAACCACCAATCAATATGCAATTTTAAAGCCAGAACTTTTTCTCAGGAAAGAAATCTTGCAGGATAACCTAAAATGTGGTTGCAGATACCTGAGTGCATTCATGAAAAGCAATCAATAAAATCTTGTGATCGCCTTTGTTTGGGTCTGCATGCAGGCCCTTTGATGTAGTCTTTCTGAGACTGTAGGAGTCTGGCAGCAGGAGTCAATCTCTGTGTCGCTTCACGTTGTTGAGTGAACATATCAAATAACAGATGATGTTATGAAACATTGAAAAATAATAGCAGTAAATGGGTTGGAGAAAAAAAAACATCAGGTAGTGACAAAACCAGCCGGTCGCATCCTGCTTTAACCTGTAGCACAAAATGCATCCTAGACAACTTACATATGGATGCCAGGAGGGGCTTTCTTGTGTGGGGAGTCTTTGAAGTCATTGCCAGCTCTGCACTCATGCTCTGGGTTTTGCTGGAGATTGCTTGAAGGCTGGACACTGAGCCTTTGTTCCGTGGGCTCCATGCCTCAGATGAAGCACTTTCCCCAGAGCTGCGGGGGGGGACGACTGCAGGTGGCAAGCAAAGAGGTTTTAGAGTGTCAGACCGTCTTGGAAAAGCAGTATTACTCAAAAGGGATGCTGGATGTTGCTATTGTGAAACTGTGGTAAAATGCTGTGGGTGTGTTCCACAGCAGTAATTCCTTATTATGTTTTTACGCTGCTGTTGTGAGAGCATTGTCACCTTTGAGGCCTTCTTTGCAGCTGACATTAGCTTAAAGAGTGCTGCAAAACTCCACCTGCGAGGAATCTGTTGTTTCTCGTCTGTACTGTCTTCTCGCTGTCCCACCAATTCTGACAAAACAAGCAATGACACAGTGGATAACTGCGTGAATTTCTATGTCATGTGCAACTTCCAGCAGCCGCCCGTCCAAATCGTTTCCTCCGTGCCCTGTTGCTCCCACTTTTTCCTGCAAAACAAAGGTGCTTACGGTGTCTGGGACGTAATTACAGCATAGCAGATGGCAGCCAGCGAGTGTGGAAGGACATTTGCAGATACAATCAGGTGTGAAATAATCCTGGAGAAAGTGAGACTGTAGCAAAGTGTAACACCTGCATCCACTGTCGGGTGCATTGATCGGGTGGTGGGCTGCTAGCATGCTGCTGTAAATCCCAACTCACTTACGTCTTTTGCATTTTTTTGGAAATAATTTGCTCAAAATGTCTGTTCTTCGGTCCAGTACCACAGATAACAACTTAAACATTCTGAGTACATCTGACACAAATTGACTGTGTCACATGACCTCCCTATGATTGGAAGTTTGTGGCAGTTCAGATTAGATTAGATAAAACTTTACTGATCTCTTTGGTAGAGTACCTCAGCGACATTGTTGTATAGTTGTTATAGCTGATGTATAGTTCAGCAGCACTTTTTTTAACCACACAGTGAAATAATTTGTGGTTTAAGAGTTGCATCCCAAGGTGATGTCAGATATCCACAAGTTTGCATGTGAGAAAACATCGGCTTGCTCTTTCACCAAAAAAAAATAACAACTAACCAGTTTATATTTACACTTGCATTACTGGGAAACATTAGAAACTGACAAGAAAGAAAGGGCAGTGACAGAATGACTAGATTAAATGAAAACATTTCCATTTTTATATTTGATTGTCCAAATACCTATTTTACATTTGAGTTGTTTCAAAAAAATAAATTAAAATGAATCTTGAAATTGCAAACATGAGTAAAATAGAAGGAAATTATACATTAATTTAAAGTTAAATTAATCTTTGGATCTTGACATTCAAAATGCATTTTTTTTTTCAATTATTTAACATTTTCCCCCTGTCTGGTAAATTAAAAATGCTAGCTAGTAAAATCACAGAAAAACGTTAATTTACATGTTGACTGTTAAAACAAACAAACAGGCCAAAATGGATTTTTTTTCTTTTACAACATTTGACGGTAAAATGCACTTGTTGTCCCCTCTATGTGAATCAGCAATAAAAAACACAACAAATATTTACCATTATGATTTTTTTTATTGTTATATAAAAACGTAAATTAAAGTTTGAAAAATGGCAAATCGATTTTTTTGCAGTTATTTTACAGATTTTCCATGTTTTCTTTTTTTAAAATTAAAAGCTAATATCTAGTAAAATAACAGAAATCGAATACTAAATGTCAAATGTAAAACAAACAAACAAAAGACTGCCCAAACTGTAATGCCCACTTCAAAAATCTGTATTTAAACAAAAATCGTAACTTGTTCTTTTACCAGGTGACCATACAATTATACTGTTTGACTGTATTTAAATTGGCAAAAAAAAAAAAAAAATTTCACCGATATTTGTCATTATTTTCACATCATTATTCAAACGTTTTTTAACGTATTGTTTAGGTTCACTGGTTAGCAGATTTTCACCGTTTTTTTTTTAAAGGATTGTTTTTACTGTGTGGAGTGATTTGAGTTACGTCGCTTCCTGTCAGCTGGAGGAAACACTTTCATTATATTACCATGCTGCGCTATTAAACACCAGTGTACCCATAGATATGTATATTAAAGGCTTTATTATATTTATCTATGAGTGTAACGGCCTTAAACTCACCCTTTAGACGAATTGATGTGAAAAACGTGCAGGTTGTCATAAAGTTGGCTGCTGTAAACGTCCCCTCTTTGCGTTTTTTTGCGTAAAAGACGCGTTTCCATGGAGATCAGAGTTACGTGCATCAGTCCCGTGAAAGTGACGTTTAGTTGCTGATTTTAAAATAATCTGGCCGCAGTTTGGATTTCATCTTGGTCCAGTATAGAATTTTAATATTTTAATGTTGCCATTTTGGAAACTAAAAGTCCTGTTGGGGGGGATTTCTTTTGCTATGGCTGACTTACCAAATGAGCAAATAAGCTCTTTAGGGATCTGCCTTGTCTCTCCTTAGCAACTGTTGCTATGCTTACTGTTGCTGCCTTAAGTTTCTTGTCATGAGATAAAAAGAAAAGTAATTTTTCTGCTTTTTAACCAAAGAAAACCTTAAATACAGGCTTTTTATGTGTTGATTGTGGCCACATTTAAACCTGATGAACAATACAGAGTTGTTGTGACACCACCAGATGCAGCAGATGAAAGCATATAGACTCTGTGAACTTTACACATCAGTATGCTATCTGATGAAACAGAAGAGCCAGTAGATTTGCAGAAGATCCGGGGCCAGGCCTCCCTCTCTTACGCCTCTCTGCCTCCCCACGACTGTGCTGATCTCTCTGCAATCTAGTGTTGGCCCCCATTAATCTCACCTCCTCTTGCGGTCTGTTAAGGCAGAGTGGGCTGCACACTCACCTTTACTTCTTTTTTCATCCTCTGTATTCAGACGGAGGGGAAGTCCGGGGGAAGACAGAGATTGAGAAGGCTCTGGCGGGATTTGATTCAATGCCAGTGGAAGCATATGTGTTTCCAGAGGTGAGGGAGGCTTAAACACTCAGCTATCTGTGACCACCTCATCCATCACGCTCGCCGACACGCATGCTTGCACACACTGTGTCAAAAAGCCTGCACCAAAGCCAGTTTCCAGGGCCTCCCTCAGGTATTTCTCATTACAAGTTGAGAGAGGCAACCTTTAAAGTACAAATATCTACTTGGGCATGTTTGTTATGTCTGCACAGAGGGATATATTTAGGTACTAGCCGAGACATGCAATGCTTTCGTTTCTTAATTCTGCCAAGCCTCGAATTAGGTCAAAAAACACTTTCTTAAAGACTGGTTAGAGTTTGTGATACAGAGCACAGTATACCGCTTCAGATATAACAGTGGACATCTTCCTTTCATCAGCAAAATGGTAAAAATACAACAATATTACAGCAACACCAGCACCAAAATGGGGCAACTGCAAAGAAGCCGTCGACCTCTTAAGTCCAGCGGTATAATCACAATGTAAAAAG